GTTATAGATTATTATTTTCATATCTTACATCATCCTCCATTGCCCTTTACCCACTTTTCTGTTGTTCTTCCTCTGGGAGGGGGTTATAGGTTGATCCTTGTGATAGATTCCCCCTTTCTCCCCCCACCTTTCCCTAATCCTCCTGGTATCTCTACTCTCATTGTTGGCCTTGAGGGCTTTATCTATCCTGGACTTCCTGTGTTGTGGGCTCTTATCTGTAGCAGGGTGAATGTTCTGGTCTAATGATTTGTAAGATAGAATTGAGGTCAGGATAGTGGAGGGAAGAAAGCACCAAAGAACTAGAGGAAAGTAGTGTGTTTCATTGGTGCTACACTGCACCCTGACTGGCTCATCTCTTCCCTGTGACCCCCCTGTGAGAGCATGTCCTATTGTCTACAGATGGACATTGAGTCTCCACGCCATGCTTTCCACCCCCACCCCCATTCACACTGGGGTATGATTTTGTTCTGGGTCTTAGATGCCTGACATCTGATCCCATCGACACTTCATGATCACACAGGCTGGTTTGCTTCTTCCATGTGGGCTGTGCTGCTTCTGAGCCTAGATGGCTGCTTGTTTATCTTCAAGCGTTTAAGACACCAGACGCTATATCTTTTGATAGCTGGACACCATCAGATTTCTTTACCACATTTGCTTATGCACCCATTTTGTCTTCAGCAATCTTGTCGGGAAGGTGAGCATCACAGAATGTGGGATTGTTAGAACAAAGTGTTCTTGTGTTGAGGGAGTACTTGAGTCAAGGCCCAATGTCTATCTGCAACCTTCATTCTTAACATATGGATATGAGTACATAGTTCTATTCCGATTTTCATATCTTACACTGACCACTGTCTCCCTTCCCCCATACTTTCTGTTGCTTGTCCCCCTGGAGGGGAGTGTGTGGTTATGTGTTCATCACTGCGATCGGTTCACCCTTCCTCCACTCCTCTGCTCACCTTCCCTCTACTCTTCTGATATCACTGTTCCCATCCATTCCTGTTCCTGGATTCTGTGTGTCCTGAGCCCTTATCTCTTATGTGTACCTGCATACATGCTCTAGAACATACATAGTGTCTGGCTAATTTGGCTTGGAGGGTCATCTAAAACTATTCCACTCAGAGGGTGGATGGAGGAGGGGAGGGGAAGGGGAACCAACTACAAGGATCTACATATAACCTCCTCCCTGGGGAATGGAAAATAGAAAAGTGGGTGAAAGGAGACTTTGGACAGTGCAAGACATGACAAAATAATTATTTATAAATTATCAAGGGTTCATGAGGGAAGGGGGAGCAGGGAGGGAGGGGGAAAATGAGGAGCTGAAGCCAGGGGCTTAAGTGGAGAGCAAATGTTTTGAGAATGATGAGGGCAATGAATGTACAAATGTGCT